TAATGGCATTTTCTGAAGATAAGCAGGCAAGTGCTGCTGGCTCGGCACTGCGCTGCATGTGGAAATACAAAGGTGTTATCTCTGCGGAAAGCAGTATCCGTGCCTGGCTCTGTCACTGCAGAGGGGGTGAACGTGAGATGTGGCCAAGAGCCACTAGCCACCGCACCATGGATTTTCTTCTCAGTGGCATGCTATAGACAGATCAAGTCAGGGCAGTAGTTTGAGTAAGGCAGGACATGTAGTAATTAAATTTAAGAAGGGGGAGAAAGCAGTAACAGCCTTGTTGGGTTGACTCAAAAAACAAGGAAAGGGTAAAGCCATTTTCTGAGGTTGTACTAATGAATTTTGCCAGCTGTAGGAACTCATCAATGCAGAAAAGGATCCAGATATACATAAAATCATTAAGACAGGAAAAGACCTCTAAGATCACCAAGTCCAACCATCAACCCAACATCACCATGACCACTAAACCATGTCCCTAAGCGCCTCATCTACACGTCTTTTAAATACTTCCAGGGATGGTGACTCCACCACTTCCCTGGGCAGCCTGTTCCAAGGCCTGACCACTCTTTCAGTAAAGAAGTTTTTCCTAATGTCCAGTCTAAACCTCCCTTGGCGCAACTTGAGGCCATTTCCTCTCGTCCTATCGCTTGTTACTTGGGAGAAGAGTATGCAGAAAGACCTGGACGTTGTTGAGGCCTGGGGTAATAGAAACAAGACAGAGTTCAATGGTATAATGGACACCATACTTTGGGGACTGATTCAGGACACCCAGCATTACTCATCTGGAACCTCCTTTTAGTCTATCGCAGGAGATTCCTCTGAACCACAAAGTGATGTCACTGAAAAAAGCACACACCTTTCTGGGCTACAGCTGTAGGCACCTTGAAGGTTAAGAAATACTAAAGTAGGAATTTTGAAGATTTAAGCTTTGGACTTATATGTCTAATGTAAATGGTACGAACCCCTCTGATGTATGAAACTTTCAGTGTAGTTAAATTGCAGGTGAGTTCTGGTAGGATCCTCCGTGTCGGGTGGACTGCACTGTGCACACTGAATTGTTCCATCACCCTACCGTCCCCATAATTTGGTTCTTACTCCCTCAGGAGACTGGAAGTTGATGTCACATATGAAAAGATGGTCTTTATAAGCAATTAGAAGACACTCTATGGAGGTTCAAGAAAATAATTTCAACATTTTAATAATTTAGGAAACCAAAATGAGAACCCAAAAGAACCTTGAGAAGATGCAACCAGCATGTTGCTGTGGTTGCTGCTGAGCTTTTGGGAGCTGTTTTCCTCCTAGGACAACCCATATTTAAATTACATATCTCAAAAACAGAGGAAAAATGGAAGACAGTTTTAATGTAATAGAAGGGTATTTGGACACCATGTCCGAAGTATGACCATACGGGTGATATTTTTGTTGTGATTATTCTTGTTCTCACAAGGTTAAACTTCTCATCAAATCCTGAAGAAATCTTGTGGACTGACAAGGAGGGACCTCCCCAGCACTATGAGCAGAGCAAGGAAGGGGGTTAGGTAAAGCCCTTAGCAAAAATGTTGCAGTGACTGGCGTCAACACAGGAATCACACAATAAAGATGAATTAATTAAGTTCAAGGTGGACCTTTCTCAGCCTCGCTCCTCTTCTGCCAGCTTTTTGCACCTGTGCTGACTTTTATTGTTCAGCTTTTCTTTCTGATCCTTTCACCACACGTGTGGGCTACAGACATGTGTCTCCTGGCTCTCTGAGCTGGCAGAGTCTCTCACTTGCATCTCAGTAATCAAAGGAGATTCAGAAGCTATCAGGTGGTCTCGCTCCTTCAAAACCCTCTCAATGACAGTGCCACAAATTGGTAGCTTTCAGAAAGATGGCTGCTGCCGGTGTAAGCTTTGATAATAGAAATGGCAGCTGAAATTTAAACTTAGACATTTATATTACTCAGAGGAAAATGTGCAGTCACAGAAAGGTTTCTCATCATCTGAAATTTCAAACTGCTGTGTGTAACACTGTGGGGCCCATTTCTCATAGCCATGACGGCTTACTTTAGAGTAGTTTTGTGACTTTCCGGGAAGAGCCCGGCATTGGTACAGAAGCTGTAAGCTGAGCTGATCATCACCCTAAAGTACCCCATCGGGATCAACAACTTTGTGGTACTGCTTGAGAGCAGCCTCCCTTTAGCCTCTCCGTCATGACGGATGGGTCAGGACTGGTGTGAGCACACGATGAACAGAATATGGTCCCTGATCTTCAGCTGACAGAGCAAGTGTAAAGGATACGTAAGGATTGTGCAGATTTACCTACCCATGAGCTTGAGAGGCATGCATACATATACTCCTTGTTTATGCATCTCCTTTTGCCTCTTCTCCCATGCTATTCCACAAAAATCTACATGCATGAGGAGGGAGGCAGGTTCTGGCAATGTTGCCAAAGGGCTGCTAAATTCCAGGTCAGCCAACAACTTTAAAGTGAAGCAGGGTACATTGTCTTCTCCTGAGAAGTAAATATACATAGACATTCTCTTTGTACATGCTAAAATATTTAAATATGTAAAAATATGGATTATAATTAGGGGAAAGTTAGAATAGATTTGAATGTTTTGCGTACCCTTGGTAGTTCTTGTTTCGTTTCTGTATGATGCCCTCCACAGAAAAAGATACTTCACCATAATTGTGCCCTTTCAGTGCAATCATGTAAATTTTGCTCTTGTTCACGTTGTCCTTCCTTTGCAAGCTCTGCCGTGGTTTCATGGCCGTCCTGGAGGGAAGGAGGTAAGGACCCCCATGGAGTTGGGGCTAGTGACACTAGTGACAAAGCTAATTAATACATTTCTCAACTCCATGCCTTCTATTTAACGCTAGCAGTGAACTATAGTATTTCACTGCAATCCAAATATGTTGTGGTCATGTGACAATGTTACTCGAACGTTTATTGAAAATTTCCTGAAAAGATACAGTGTGAAAACAGTATTTTGGTTTGCTGCTTCTGCTGGGTTTTGTTTCCTCCTATTTTGTTTCACTCTGAATCCTCGATGTCTATATTACATATGATAATGTTTCAATATTATTGAAACAATCCAAAGAAGTTTTCTTAATATTTTCAGATCAACTTTTATTCATAATGTTCCGTTTCACTAACACGCCTATTTTTCTACATCAGTTCTCTCCCTTATGACTCTAATAGATCTCACTGAAGGTCTAATTCCGCATTTACTTGCTGTACAGCATAAAATGGACAGCTACCTGTTCGGTCTACTAGTATACACACCAGCACCTACACGGACACATTGTGCAGCTAAATAGAAATCCACATTTCTATACTTCTAAGGTACAGTAAGATGTAAAAATCCAAAACTCTCCATGGTCTATGCTGGAGTTTCGCTTGCAATTGTGAACGTTGCTATTTATCTTGAGAAAGGTGGAATACAGGGGTGCAACATGCACACGTGTGCATACACAAACACACACACACTCATGCTTCCAGACCTCATGGACACTTTCAACAGTTTCAACAAACTTTTGCTTTGCACTATGACGGGAAAATCTGAGTTTTTAAGATTGTGACCCTCTGTCAGATGTAGCAGAAAGGAAAAAAATCAAAAAACAAACAAACCAACCAAACCTCTGGAATTAAACACATTTATACACTGTGAAATGCACTTATACTACTCAGTATTTGCAGATCAGCTAATACTAAGAAACCCATCTATTATATTAATGTTTCACTTCCCAAGTGTACTCTGCTTGTAGGTTTAACTAATACAACGAATAAAAAAGGACTTTAAAAAAAAAAAAATAGATATTATCGGTGCTACCCACACTGATCCACCGGTCATTTCAACAAAAGTATTCGTTAAAAAAGATACAAAAAAGTCCCTAAAAGTGATTACAAAAAATTTCAGGCTTTTTTTTTTTGTTACTTAGGTGTCTGTTTGGACAGTGGGGCTTGATGATAAAGTTTTCTGACTCCTTGCCCTTCAGCTCCCCAAGGGGATGGTCAATGTGTAAGACTTGCTGGTGAGCGGATGCACTAACACTGTGAAGATTTCTTCAATGAAGCAGGCGCAATTAACGTTTAGCAGCCAATTTGTGCCCACCTCCTGACACAGAGTCCTTCCTCAGGGCTTTTTAGGACAGCCCTTCTCTAAGGACAGTTTTGCTTCAAAACTTTCTTCCCCTCAGCCAAGAGATCGGGGATCCCTCCTGACAGCTGGATCTGAAACAGGAGCTTTGATCCATTGCCGGCATCAGAGGATGCTGGATCAAGGCTGGAGGGTCTGGAAAACATTAACTAGATATAGTGTGTGAAGCCAAGAGATAACTCTGGTAGAAAGGGAAGAAGGGGAGAGGGAGAGAAAAAAAAGCGTTCCTGTGACGATTTTTCTTCTCTGTTTTACACCAACACTTCAAGCCACACAGTATTTTTCAGCCTTTACTACTGGGTGCTCTGGGGAATACTAAAATCTGCCATGTCACACGAAAGAACAGGCAAATAACTATTTTTCCTGTCTCAATACATAAGATTATATATCTTGTCTCTTTCTCTGGTGCCTTGTCATATCAGCCTCTGCCTCGTTGTATTTTTAAGAAACTACCTGGGCCTCAATTCTTGCTGCACAAATCAAACCAAGCTATTGCCCATTTTTGCACACTGAGAAAATCCCCTGCCATAGTCAGAGGACCTAAGATTTGTTCTGTAACATTCCCATGATTCAGCTGAAAGAAAAAAAACCCACAGACTCCTGTGTGAGAAAGGGTTTAATTGCTCTGGTTAGACGAATTAATCTAGACAAGCACGAAGAATACAAAGGGAATGCCTCTTGCTGAAGACTGAATTTTGCTCTTAGATATGCACATGTAACTTCTTCTGAAGTTAACAACATATCAAAGGCAGGATTAGGCCATAGAACATTTGCATCACGAGCCATGGATCCAGAGCAAGGGTAGGAACAAAGGCCATCTTAATAAGCTGCAACTAGCAAACATTTTAGTTGCCTACCTGCTCCATTTCCGTAAAGGTGCTCTGCTCCTCATCTTCCTCCTCGATATCCGACTCTCCCACAGCAATAGGAACACAGATGGACAGGTCAGGATTGGTCATAAAATCATCATTGTCTGTAATTCCTAGGTGTTTCTCTCCATTTTTATTCATCCCATCCTCAGCGTGGTTCTCTTTGTGATTCTCCATGTCTTTGCCAGGCTCAGCGCTTGTATGACTGTTCACACAATTGTTAAGGGCACCTGTATTCTGGGCAGCAAGCTTCATCATTGCCTTCTTTTCAGCCGTCGTCTTGGGGTGCCGGAGGACATTGCAGCAAAAATCCCACGTCGTGTGTTTCACGTACTGAAGACCCCTGTTGATCCGAGCAAAAGCAAGCTGCAGGTTGTTCATCTCCCCGTCCTCATCTGGTGCGGAGAGGTTGTCAGCACTGAAAGAGCTTAGCAGCAAGGCAAGGAATAGGTTGAGCACCTGAAACCAATAAAGTTAAAAGGAAATCAATGGTTAATTGTGGAGGACAAATGTTTGGTCTTGGAAGCAGGAGGGTCTGAGTCTCATCTAATCTGTGCCACTGCAAAACCACCAGTGTTCATGGAACTATCTCTAATTATAGGTGATGAGAAGGAAAAGAAGGAGTGCAGACATTTCCAAACACTTTAATTTCAGCATGGACAATAACACACTCTAACATTCCCTTTCCCTCTGCAACACCCCAAAGCATGAAAAAGAAAAGGCAAAGCTCAGAAACAGAATATGGGATAAAATTTTCATTGGAAGATACGTAGTGTAAATATTCTCATAAGCGGTGGTATATTGAATTTCTTGTAATTGCCAGTATTCCACCTTGGAGAAAATCACTAACTGCAACGCTTACTGACATCCAGAAAGGTACTGCTTACATGTAGAAAAAGACTACAGGAAGAATGTTTTCCGGACCTTTTTGATTTTTACTCAGTGTGAATATTGTAATTTATATTTCATAGCATATAATGATATACATATACATGGCACTTAAACCAAATAGCATACTTGGAAACATTTCTAAATATTTCTATGTATTTTCACAGACAGTCTTGATTTAAATATCCTCTTGGGCTATGAAGAAACTCCATTGTGACTGCGAATAAACACCTAAAAGGTCATATAGTTTCAAAACCTTTGCCCTCCAGGCAAAAACAACCCATTACATTCAGGATTAATGTGGCTAAATCTGAGCAGGGCTCACCCCCAAAGCAGGCTTGGGCCTGGAAATGCTGCTACTAGTCAGGAAATAACTATTTGAATATTTTCACAGATGTATGGGAAGATCCAAACTGAACTGGAGACCGTAAGTTGGGTTCCCCTTGTTCCTGCAACTTCAGAACTGTCTACCTTTGCTGGTAGCACACTGCAAGATCAGACACAACCATACATTTGGGTGACATATTTGATGATTTAAACCTCTTTTTACCTTCTAGGTTTTTTTTTTTCCCCTGCAATATATACAATTATAACTAATAAATAGAAACATTTTCGTCTAGAAGGGTATTCCCAGTAATACATCTTGCAGGGTGATCACCAGCTGCTGTGTATAGGACATGACACCTGCTTGTGGTCCGAGAAGGTATGAATTACAGGTTTTGTGCTGGATTGACAAGGGCAAGAAGCTCACACCGGAGGTAGATGCCTGCGATGACGGGAATGGGGCAAAGGCGACTCAAACCAATATCAGCTAAAATATATTTACCCAAAATAAACTAGGACCAAATTGCCTGGTATCAACTCATCTGCCGCCTGTACAAGGTGGGTGGGTGCCAGCTCTGTGGCGCTGCAAGGCAGAGATCAGTGCTGCAGCTTTTTCACTGTTTTAGCAATAAAATGGACTTTGTGAAGGTATTTTCTCTATGATCTCTTGATGCTACCAGAAATACTTCTAAGTCCACTGGCTTCTGTCTTTCTGATAGTATTTTAAATTGATGAAGTCTAGTAGACCAAAATAAACAGTACTGGCCCTTACCAAACAGCCACAAGCTTTTGCTATCATCCCCCCACCCATTCCCCCTTATTTCAAATATTCAGAATATATGAGCTGGAATTTTGAAAACTAGCCTGGTCTTAATCACTGTGGTGACTCTGCATTTGAAGTGTCCTGTCAGTACTGTTTTGTAAAGTACTCTTTGCAATCACTGTGATTATAAATGAAAGCAGTTGGTAGCACAGCAGATGCCCATGTCCATTATGAACTGCTGAATAAACTTGCTGCACTGAGCACTACCCTGCTCTAAAGTAAAGTGAGATTAAAGCTCATTGTTTCTTAGCTGGTCCATCATACTGGAGTGCCACTGACAGCTTGTGTGGGTCTCCTCTTAATCACTGTGGCGGTCTGGTATGAATCAATCTTTCATTACATATCCCACTCGGAGGTATTGCAAGTGATGTTGTCTGATGGGTAGTTGAAAACCAGAGTACTGGATATACTGCCAAGCAGGTGGGAGTCTGTCAGCAAAGGAGTCATTGGCAGAATCACTTTAGCCATTTTCAACCAAATTTGATAGAGGGATGAGGTCTCAGAGATAATCACATTGCTACAAGCATCCTGAAAATAAACATGTGGGTAAAGAAGAGACGCTGCCCAGGCCACCAGTGCAGACAAAGCTTGGAATGAGACACAGCATGTGTCTCCTTCCCAGTGGCAACCTAGGGGGGAGCTGGAGGAAGGAAGGGGGTAAAGAAATCCAGAATAAAAATCTTCTGGACTTTATAGGTTCAATTCGGTTACCTTAACAGAGGTGTCTACTGTTGTTTGAGGTTATCTGAGACATCTCCACTAGACCTTCAGGAGATTTGTGTCCTCCTAAAGCTGCAGGTTTCATCTAACCAGAACACGATGGGGTGTCGCAGCAGACACCAGACTGGCGGTGTTTAGGGAACTGAGTCACGCTTCAAGGATGGCAGCTGCCTCCAGACTCAGGCACCAAAGCTTGAGGGTCTAATGGGGCATCTAAGCCCTGTTTCAATCAAAAGAGGTTCATCATATAGACAATGGAGCGTGACCAAATACAGGTGACCATGTTAGGGCTGCATGCAGCTGCCAATATGTAGTCATCTAGTGCCAACTGACCCTAGCATGCCCAAGTCATCCTGAGGCAACTGGCTGACGCAACACACTATTATGGGAGATCTGTGTATAGTTGGAGGCCAGGATGGATACCTTACAGTATCCCCAGTGGCGTTAGACAAAACTGAGCCAAGCCCTAGATCTCTGCAGACTGTAGTGGTAGCTCAGATGCCTTCTCCATATATGAATACCTCCACGTAGGCACACAAATTTTGTTATGTGAAGCTGAATTTCATTCTATACTTCATTAATTCTGCTGTTTACAGAATAACTTGTTTGAAATACCTTGTTTTACTTTTCTGTATTTATTTCGTATGTCAAACTACAGTTACATAAGTTTATCCAGATACACCTGCAGGTGCATATAATAGGTAGTAACATTCTTAGTGTTGTTATTTACCATGGATTATTAAGGCAATGTTGTTTACTTCCAGAACTGCAGCTGACATTTTGCACAAAGAGCTATTTGCACTTCATGCTTTTAGCCAAAAATAAATCTCAAATATCATTTCCTCCTTCCTTTTTGAGCAGGTAACCTTAGAGGTGTATTGCTGGGCGTTCAAATAGAGTGAACTGCTGTATAAGCACTTTATGTTTACTTATTCCCCCCATTTCTCTGTACATGCATTTTCCAGAAAAAATATATGCTCAACCCATGACACACCACATTTCCTGTAAGAGGTTACTAATAATATCCAGTCTTCCTGGTTACTAACACAATGCTTTCAGTTTAAGTAAAAGCAAACTAAAGACTAATTCAGTTTTCAAAAGCAATGGCAGATTTGTACATCCATACGCATCCCCTTAAAAACAAATCTGCTTTCCTGTGACACCAAGCAGCCAGGCTCTAAAAGCAGGTCACTTTTTTGGTCTTTGAGGTTAAGAATCAAATGACAGACGCACTCAAAACAAACCCCAACTCCTTTAGCATAATGACGTTAAGCATTTACCCTAATGACAATACAGCGTGCTTTCATAGGCTTTCTCACTTTTAATGCCTTTCCAAAGCTAGTGACTCCGGTTACGCAATTATAAGGCACAAAAGATCAGATTCATCCAGTCTAATGTCAGGTGCCTCCCTGAGGTGCTTAAGCTGGAGGAGTTTTCCTAGGATGTCTGTAGATGATGGAGACAGTCTGGCAACCCAGGAGATGCTGAAGAGCTGAACCATCTCTGGCGGTGCCTACTGAAGCCTAGGCTAGCTTGGGTTTAGTCTCTCACAGCTAGATTAAAGTTAGGGCACTTACCAATGCAGACCAAATAACTAACACAGAATCATAGAATCATAGAATATCTCCAGTTGGAAGGGACCCATGAGGATCATTGAGTCCAACTCCCTGCTCCTCACAGGAGTACCTAAAACTAAATTGTATGACTAAGAGCGTCATCCATGACTTGTCAAACCCAGCCAGGTGTCCAGCAAGTCCTTCTTGGTGTCAGCCTGGTACTCCATGCTCCAGGCCAGTGGTGGCCAACCTTTATAACCACGCAACCTTCACCAGGTAAGAGGAGAGCACAGGATGCTTCAGCCCCATCCTGAGCAGAGCTGCAGCACACAGGTAGCAAGCCAGGCATTGCACGAAGTACTGCACCAATTCTGCGGTCACAGCAAGTGAAGAGCATAGAGGCATGAAGCCGTGAAGCTAATTCAGCTCCCCAGCCATGGGGAGAAAACAGGCTGCTGGAAGGACCCCTCGTTCCCAAGGAGCCCTAGGCAGGGGCTGCTGGTGGAGGCTGGGAGCCACGTATACTGCCATGGTGGGCTGCAGTCTGAATGCCTCAGTTCCATCGCCTCCTTTTGTTTTGGCCATCACAGTACAAAAACAGACAGCATAATTTCAGGTGATACCTTCTGATCAAATCATCTTTGAAAATACCTGTCTGCAAACTCTGTTGCTGAAGTTAAAATACTTTTGGAGCAAAAGCATGTGACTGCTCCCTCATTTCCCTTCCATTCTTGTATTTACCTTGATTTGGCAAAAATGGAGGGATACAAATCTTTATGTATTTAACCTTCCACCTGTCATTCAGTCAAACAGTGTCCAGCCCCTGCAATCCTCCTGCACTCCTGTGAATTGATTCAGCAATGCGTTTGCTGCCCTGCACTCTCTGGGGTCATGCGCTGCACTGAATATAGGCTGAAAACCCATGGGAAAGTCTAGGGCCATTTCTTAGCAGATATTGAAAATAATTCTGTATGTCATTTAGCTAGGAGCGAGAATGATGTTGCACCTGCACAAGTTCAATGGCAGGGTTAAGCCATCTCCAAAGTGAGGTCCTCAGCTACTGGTCTTGTCTGATTGCAGAGGATCTAATATGAGTTCACCCATGTGGCTTTTCCTGTAGAGGGATCTGTCTTGACCGCATACTGCCA